TGTTTTCTTCCTTTACCTCGCAACAATTTATCTGTGGAAATCAACCTTTGTTGTTGTTCGTTTCTTTGGTACCTCACTTCCCAACTCCTCTCACAGCATGTTAGCATTTGGGCAGCCCCTTCTTCCTTCTAAAAGTCTTTTAAGTCACAGTCGTAGGTCTGCCTTAGGGCTCCTCTCCCCGAACTCTGTTCCCTCACTTGGTCATACTCAGCTCCTCTCTGCCAAAGACCCATGCCTATCCTCTGAAAAACAGTGGTCCGTGGAATGCAGGGACATGGCAGCACAGGAAAATCATCAGAGGTTTAAGATTTTACACTGTCTCCTTCCCTCATCAGCTGGTGTGGGGAAGTGAGCAACGGGGAGGTTTTCCACAAATGATGCTACTTTGCTCAGAAGGCAAAAGCACCTATGGCCAGTTTTGTTCACACTTTCAAGTTCTTATTGTTTAAAACTCTAAATCTTTCTTGAAAGCATTGATATTTTAAATATGAAACAGGAATTTAAAAATAATGATTGTGCTATTGTACTTTGAAAAATGGTAACGTGGCAGGAAATTCATCTCCAAGGATCTAAGTTTCCACTGTATCTAGACTTTACCTACTTTACTGAACGTGAACTTTTTCACTGCATTGAGAAAAAGTCAAGTATCTTTTCTCTTTTCTCAGAAGTTTTGTTTAAGAGTTCTGGACAGTTGACCTATTCCTGCTTCCTCTAATAATTAATCTCTATGGCCTTCTTCTCACTGAAAAATCTCTTAATTGTGACATGTACTTACTGAACTAGTGTATAAAACACAGATGAATGCCTTAGCAAATAATTATTAAGCAAAACATTATATAATTATTACTTAGGTTAGGAAACAAACATATCCAGCATTTCATAAACACCCATACATCCTTCCCCAACAGAAGAAACTACTATTTTGAATTTTATGGAAATTATTTATTTGCTTTTCTGCTTAGCTGCATCACTCTTACACAGCTGAACATTCCTAAACATTAAAGTTGTACTGTTTATGTTCTTTTGACTTGCTGTTTTATATTTGTAAGAGTCAAATATAATGCTAAGTAGGTTAGGCATGTAACTGAGGCTCATTTATTTTCACTATTGTATAGTATTCTGTTATATGGCTGTATCACAATTTATTCTACTGTTGATGAACCTTTGGTCTATTTCTAGTTTAGGACCATAAACTATTTCTGTAAACATTTTAGTATTAGTCTTGTACATATGTGTATATCTTGTACAAATGTGGATTTTTCTGGTGCATACATGGAATTGCAGTCATGGTGCGAAGGGCCTGCTGATATATCACACAGATGCCCCTTTAACGAAGGGCTTGCTGCCTCTACTGCTGGGAGTACTGTCGGCCTCTTCCAGGGATGGCCTCTGCTGTAGACAGCTGTCTCTCCTGAGATTCCGCCTCTCCCAGGATGGCCCACTTAAGCTCATGAAAAGACATACTTTTGGTCTGAACTACAAAGATTTCAACAGAAAAAAATTTTAAGACGCTGTCTTCAAACACTTGAAATTATTGAAAAAAAATGTTTAGATGGCAAAATATATATATTTTTTGTTACTAGTTTAATTGCATTACAGTCACAGATCATTCTCTATTGGGCCATTAAAATATGTTAAGAGTTATTTTCTGGTCCAATAAACTCTACGTAAAAAGAATGTGTGTTCTGGCCGGGCACAGTGGCTCAAGCCTGTAATCCCAGCACTTTGGGAGGCCGAGGCGGGTAGATCACAAGGTCAAGAGATCGAGACCATCCCGGTCAACATGGTGAAACCCCACCTCTACTAAAAATACAAAAAATTAGCTGGGCACGGTGGCGCGTGCCTGTAATCCCAGTTACTCAGGAGGCTGAGGCAGGAGAATTGCCTGAACCCAGGAGGTGGAGGTTGCGGTGAGCCGAGATAGCGCCATTGCACTCCAGCCTGGGTAACAAGAGCGAAACTCCATCTCAAAAAAACAAAACAAAACAAAAAAACCCAAAAAATTAGCTGGGTGTTGTGGCACATTTGTAGTCCGGAAGGCTGAGGAAGGAGAATGGCTTGAACCCAGAAAGCAGAGGTTGCAGTGAGCTGAGATTGTGCCACTGCGCTCTAGCCTGGTAACAGAGTGAGACTCTGTCTAAAAAAAAATATGTTTTCTGTAATATTTGATGATTTTTGTCAATTGCCTTGAAATCTTCTGTATCCTTACTGCTTTTTTTCTACTGCTTATTTCTTTTATTACTGAGAGGGATGTGTTAAGATCTTTCATTGTGTTGTGGATTTTTACATTTCTTCTTGGAAGTCTGTCTCGAGGTCATGTAATGTAATTGCATACATATTTAAAATTATATTTTTCCACTAAATTAAATTGTATTATTATAAACTGACCCTTTTTATTATCAACAATGCTTTTGCCTTAATTTTTTTCAACTAATATAGTTATGTGATACATGATATGACTTTTGACCTTTCTATATGCTTCTGTTTTAGATGTGTCACTTATAAACAACATACTTAACTTAAAATAATCACTGGCCTTTATCAGGAGCATTTAGTTCATTTATATTTAGTGCAACTATTCTTGTCATGGTTAAAAATGCAGCTATTTCCATTGTTCTTCCTGAGGTAACGTTTTTTTCTCTAGCTGCTTTTAAGATTTTTATATTTTATTGTAAAAAGTATAGTTTTTAAAAATAACTCTCTGTTTTACAGGGCCTTAGAGTAAAAATGTGCCATTTACACAGCTTACCTATAGGCAAGAAGCCTGAAATAACTTGCAGTTTTGCATCTAATTTAGCCCCTGACTTACTTGCATTGTTGCCAGGATTAATTATGAAACTGAAGTTTGGCACCTTCTCTTTAATATATTCTTCCCCTTGTAGCAACTGTGTTTAATGGCATTAAAAATAGCCAGGGGCAATAGTGCACACCTGTACTCCCAGTTACTCAGGAGGCTGAGGCTGGAGGATCCCTTGAGGCCAGGAGTTTGAATTCAGCCTGGACAACATAGCAAGACCCCATTTCTAATTAAAAAAAAGAGAAAGGAAAAGGTTCTTGGGCGGGGGGGGAAGAAAAGAACTTACCAGACTTCTTAAATCTGTAAATTTGGTATGTTTCATGAGTTCTGCAAAAATATCAGATGCTATCTTTTCAAATATTGCCTCCACCATATTCTCTTTGAATCAAATGATCAGATGTGTATTAGACATTTTCACTCTTACTCTGCTCTATTTTTTCTCATCCCTTTCTCTATATTTTCTTCTTTTTGTCTCTCCTTGCCCAATTCTAGGTGTTTTCTTTTGATTTATCTCCCAGTTCATTAATTTTTCTGTAGCTAGTCTAACCTGATAGTCAATCATCCTTTTAAGTTCTTAATTCTATGATTTTTCAGTTCCAGAAGTTCTCTATTTTTTCAGATTGTTTATATTACTTTTTATCCTTTATTTTTGTTGTTCCAGAAGTTCTCCATTTTTTTCAGATTGCTTATATTACCTTTTATTCTTTATTTTTGCTGTTGTTCTTGTTTTTTCTCCTTTTAAAATTTTTGTTTTTGCCTTTTATTTTTTTCTGTACCCTACAGATTTATATGTTTGTCTTTTTTCTCTAAATATAGTAATCATAGTTGTTTTATCTTCTGGGTCTGCTAATTCCAGTGTTTGGGGTCTTTGGGCATCTGATGTTATTTTTTTAAAATTGATTCTACTGTTTCTTGTCCAAGATGTTTTCTTCTCTATGTTCCTGATTGCCTTTGGTGGGTTGCTGATAATTATATTTAAAATTATTTGTATATTGGCATTTGCTTCTGCTAGACATCTGGGGTACTTTTGGGCAGGACAAGTTCACTCCAAGTTCAAGTTTGAGGCAAGACTTATCAAACTGATATAAACCCTTAGGAATAATTTATTTATCATTCACACTTCCCCTAGGATTTAGTTTTGGGGTCCCAGCTTATTAGACTTCACATTGTGTGTGGACCTGGGCTTTGATATTTGTCACCCTTGATCCCTGAGTACATATAAATGGAAGTTTAATGTGTAGGGATTGGCAAATACAGTAGGGAAAAAAAAAAGTGTATCTTCTGTTCTTATTTACCAATGTGAGTTCATATTTTCTCTTTACTTTGGCCTGCAAATTTCTTGTTATGTTGTAGGCTCAATAATTTTTAAAAAGACTTTGAAAAATGTTTTATATAGAGATCAGAGTGATTTTCAGCTGATGGGAGATTGTTTCAAATAACCTAGTCCATCATTAACAGACATTTGAATTCCTCATCTTTTTGTAGGTAAAATTTTTCTTTTCTCCCTTTATAATTAGTTTGGAGTTTTTGCTTGTTTTTTCTTTGGGGGGGGTTGGTTTTTTTTTTGTTTTTTTTTTTTTTGATACACTCTCACTCTATCGCCCAGGCTGGAGTGCAGTGGCACAGTCTCGGCTCACTGCAACCTCTGCCTCCCAGGTTCAAGTAATTCTCGTGCCTCAGCCTCCCAAGTAGCTGGGATTACAAGTGTGCCCCACCAGGCCTGGCTAATTTTTGTATTTTTAGTACAGATAGCGTTTCACCATGTTGGCCAGGTTGGTCCTGAACTCCCAACCTCAAGTGATCCACCCCCCTCGGCCTCCTAAAATGCTGGGATTACAGACGTGAGCCACCATGCCCGGACTTTTCTTTGTTTTTGTTTGTTTTTTGTTTTTAAAGAGACTGCGTCTCTCTCTCTCCATTGCCCAGGCTGGAGTGCAGTGGTGTGATCATAGCTCACTGCAGCCTTGAACTCCTAGGCTCAAGCAATCCTTCCACCTTAGTCTCCAGGGCAGCTGGAAATACACATGTGAACCATTGCACTCAGCTGGAGTTTTAAGGGATAGTCAAGATGAGTGGTAAGGAGTCTGTAAATCTATTCTTTTTATAACCTTACACATTTGAGAACTTTACCTTCTTCTCCCCAGTGGTCACCTTATGATCAAGAGATCATTTACTTTGTCACCTTTCTTGTTCTTATTTGCAGATGTTGATGAATGGCAAGAATCAGAAGAAAATGTTGAACACATCCTGTTCTCTCACACCCGCTATTCTGAGAAGGAAATGGCTAAGAGATCTCAGGAATTTTATGAACTTCTCAATAACAGACGGTCAGTCAGGTTCATAAGTAATGAGCAAGTCCCAATGGAAGTCATTGATAATGTCATCAGAACGGCAGGTTTGTAATGGCAGGTGGGCTCTTTGGAAATGTTAGCCGCCTTACTGGTGTGACTCTAACACTGGGAAAATGTCAAAGTTCTAACATAGTGAATAAAGTCTAGAGTGGTATGTTTATCTATAAAGTCTTACCCAAGGGTGACTGCCAGAAACACAGTGATTTCTGCTTTCCACATTTTGACGATTACAAATTTCTTGGAAGCAGATGTGACAATAGTTCAAAACTTCTGAAATTATTCAGTTTATGAACTTTTAATTAAAAAAACAAGATTTCTGGTCATATCATTATATTAATGTATCGATGGAGATACATCTTCTTTCTTTCCCCTCCCCTTAAAACACAAAAGACACACACGCATTCACATACTCACAGTTATATTTGTTTTTCTTTGGAAGCAAATTTCTTATGTTACACACTGTGATGCTGTAGTACAGTATTCTCATAAACTAGCAAAATTTACTTATGTGAATTTGCAAAGTAAACCAAAGGAAGGAAAAACCCATTTTTAATGTAAATTAATTTTTCCCAGTGAAGAAAAAAAATGTGAGCTACAGAAAATGGGGAGGAGAGATAAGGAGAAAACTCCCTACTTGAGAATCTCCTGTGATTGGAGTCTTATCCTTGCATAAACCACATTTAAGTTTATTTGCAAAAATTATCACATGCCCATTGTGAATCCATAGTCCAACATGAAAGGAAGCAAGAATAAAATATTTCACTTTAGTTATAAATACAAATGCATTAGATTGTTGAGTCCTTATTCTAACTAACAGCAGTTACTAAACATACCCTTTATCTCTATCTGTATTTCTATATGTGTATGTACACATATGCTGGCACAGTTAAAAACATTAGGGAAAAATTTATATCTTATGTCAAGAGATACAAATATTTAGTAAACAAATAAAATGGATACAAAGTTAACTGGAATCACTCTGTACAGTAATTTGGGCCTCATGTTTAGCTTTTGACTTGCATTTCCCAAGCCAGTTGTGACTTCTAGTGCTGGGAGTGGTATGTGGCAAGCAAGAATCCCAACAAGAGTCTTCAGCCCTTCCTCCCTCCATAGGTGGAGCTTATTTCATTAAACTACCCATGGGAAGGAAGGAACAGTTGCTTCTGAAATATCCCACCTGTGAGTCTGTGTGGTCTGTTCTTGGGAACAGTGGGCCATCTCTAGGGCTGAGGGGTAACACCCAGATCAGAAACCAGCCCCTACTCTCACTGGAATCCCACCAGGAATTGAAGTTCCATAGACAAAGGTGAAGCTTTGCCCTGGGACACTGGAACTGATCAAGGTGTAGGCTGAGGGTTCCCGAAGTCCCTGGGAATAGAATGACACACGGCCATGAGTATTGAATACCCATGGCTAAGAATATACGTGGCTGTAAGTATTGAGTACCCATGGCTAAGAATATACATGGCCGTTCATACTGAGTACCCAGGGCTAAGGATTCCCCAACTGTTGTGTGTCCCCAAGGACAGGACAAACCTCACAGTACCACACTCATAGCTTTGATATAGGGACCAAACTATGTATAGCTAAGTTGCCTTTTGAGTAGTGTTTTAAAAACCGTCTTACCATATACATTTTGCCTTCTTCAATAAACTTCACAACTTTATTCTTTTTCAAGAATATCAAAAGAAATGAAAGTCTGGAGAATTCTGGCTGTCAAAATTTTGAAAACCCTCTGAGTTTCTTTCCTTAGCAGTTGTGGTGCAGTTACTTGGGTACATTTTCTCCCACATATTTAGAGAAGCAGTGGTGAGTTCCCACAGTGCTGGAACTAGTGGGCTTGATCACCGATCAGTTGGTTTGATGCTGAACAAAATGGACTTGGCAGCAGCATGACAGGGTCCACTGCCAGGCATTTGCTTTCCAGATTATCTAACTTCATTTTGAGCAAGTATACATTATTTTTATTTTTTATTTTTGAGACAGAGTTTCGCTCTTGTCGCCCAGGCTGGAGTGCAATGGCTTGATCTCAGTTCACTGCAACCTCTGCCTCCCAGATTCAAGCAATTCTCCTGTCTCAGCATCTTGAGTAGCTGAGATTACAGGTACCCACCACCACACCCAGCTAATTTTTGTATTTTTTGTAGAGACAGTGTTTCACCATGTTGACCCAGCTGGTCTTGAACTCCAGACCTCAGATGATCCACCCACCTTGGCCTCCCAAAGTGCTGGGATTATAGGCATCAGCCACTGTGCCTGGCCAAGTATGAATTATTATGTTTATCCTTAAAAACATTTTTTTAAAAGATAGGATGCTACTCTGTTGCCAGGCTAGAGTGCAATGGTGCAATCATGGCTCACTGCCTCCCAAGCTCAAGTGATCCTCTCACCTCTGCCTCCCAAGTAGTTGTGACTACAGGTACACACAACCACACCCTGCTAGTTAAAAGAAAGAAATTCTGCAAAAATTTTTTTGATCCTCCAGCCCCAGCCTCCCAAAGTGCTTGGACTACAGGGATGAGGCACCATGCCCAGCCTTTCCTTAATTTGCAGGCTCACACTTTCCTGCAGTTTTAATTTCTGATTTTAATGGAATGGGTGACAGGAACAGCCCCGAGTGGGGCCCACACAGAGCCCTGGACCTTTGTGGTTGTGAAGGACCCGGACATGAAGCACAAGATTCGAAAGATCATCGAGGAGGAAGAGGAGATCAACTACATGAAAAGAATGGGGCATCGCTGGGTCTCAGACCTCAAGAAACTTAGGTACAAACAGTGGTGGAATTGGGGACGTTCGCCTTGGTGGTTAAAATAAAATAGCCAGCACTGCCATGTCCTGGCTTTATTGTAAACGTTAACAAGCTTGATTCTGCCTCTGGGAGGAATTATGGAAGTTAAGACAGGGCTCACTTCTGTATCACCATGTGAGTGTTTGGTAAATGAGCTCTGACTCAATTATTTACTAAATAAATAAAGTAATTATTGTTTATTTATTATTAATAATTATTTATTATTATTAAGTAAATAAATAATTATTTACTTAGTAAATAATTGAGGAATTACTTCACTTTTTACCCATCTGGAACATAAAATGGTGAAATTTTTCTCAAGACCTTACATGAAGCAAATTACATTTTGCTAAAGTGATTGGGTCTTCCAAACAATTTTGCTAAGCGGGCTTTAGTTTTAGGACAAGTTTACCACAAGTGTGATTATTTGTGAGGCTTTAGTAACTTTTTGGCTTCCTCAACTCCAGGAAAGAAGTGGAGGGGAATTCACTGCAGTGCCTCAGCAAAGGCAGCCCCCAGGGTCTGCTCCTGGCACCCACAGTCAGCGTGCTCTATGCAGGGAATGGAAAGTGTTGGTTCATCCAGTGAGTCAGGAAAGTGGATTACAAAAGGTTTCTCTGTGTTGATATTTCCATGACTTAAAATTCTAATGCTTGGCTTTATTAAAAGTCACTTCATGTATTTTAACTATTTTCACCCTTGTAATAACCATAGGGGTTATTTTACAGAGGAGGAAACAACTCCATGGGAAGCTAGGTAGCTTGCCCAGTGGCCAGGATAGACCAGCTCCAGAGTGGATCTTCTAAATCATTACCATTTTCCCTCTTTGTAGGGAGAAAACAAATGATAACAGTCAAATGTGACTAAGCCGGTTGAAGTACAGTTAAGTAGCTTTGAAAGTGCAACATACAGATGTTCATAGCATAAGAGGAACCATGGAGAAATACACAAGTGAGCTTCGTGTGCTTTGGAACAGTGAAGCATAACTAGGCTACAAATGGAATGAATGGTGACTGTCTCTTGCTAATGAATGACATAGATATCCTAAGGTAAAATCCCAATATGTGGGATAATAGGACTCTCTGTCCTTTGACTATCTGTGCTAGAATAAAACTTCTGCCAAAATGTGTAGGCCAGGGTAATGAAATCAAGAAAGAGATATTGTGAGCTGGAAAACAAAAATTCAGCCCTGTATTTATATCTCACATGAATGATCTCCCTGTCTCACAGAAGTTCCCTTCCTTTTTTCCATAACTGGGACAACAGCATCGCCATCTCCCCACCTGTGGTTTTGGCTGAACCTCACTGATATCCTTGTCTTCTCCCTTGCAGAATTTTGGCTCATTGCATGCTGGGTAATAGGACCTGTCCTTGTATCTTTCAGCATTTCATATGTCTTGCTATGCCAGGCACTTATTAATACATGTTTATGAAACTGAATGATCCTGGTCAGAAAAAGAGGAATGAGACAAAAACAAAAATTCTGCAGCTTTTCAATTTAAATATAAAAGATGAGTGTTGGAAACAGATGCTCCGTGCCAAAAAGAAAAATTAGCACTGAAACAAAGCCTCTCTCAACAAGGCAGTTTTTACTTTCTGCAGGGAAGGTATCCTTGCTAGCCATCTTGCCATGAGAGTACAATGGACAAAGGAAAAGCAGACATATTTATCCTTTATGCATTTGGGGTTGTCCTTACTGCTGTGTCTGATCTCCACTTGTTGGAGCCAGACTTCACAATCTAAACTAAAACCCAATTGGCTAATAACATAAAACAATTTTAAACAGGTAAAAGCAATGGAGAACAAAAAGGAAGTCAAAATAAGGAAGGGGCATAGGCTGCGAACTGAGACATGCATGTGAGCATGTCCAGCACAGATATCTTGGTTAATGTAGAAGGACATAGAATGTACTACGTGCCTATAAGCATATTTAACAGCTACATAGGATAGGGCTTAACAAAGAGTTATTAACAAAAAGCAAGAAAGATTTATTCTTTAACAAGAAAGAAAACTTTGAAGAAGAATTTTCCTACTTCCCACAATTAGTAAACATGTTTTTATTTTTATCATAAAGAAGCTAAGGTAGTAAAAACAGAACAAAAAATACAGGCAAATAGTCTCAGGAATCTCTTTTCTCTTCCCAGAACCAATTGGATTAAAGACTACTTGGATACTGCCCCTGTTTTGATTCTCATTTTCAAACAAGTACATGGTTTTGCTGCAAATGGCAAGAAAAAAGTCCACTACTACAATGAGATCAGTGTTTCCATCGCTTGTGGCATCCTGCTAGCTGCCCTACAGGTATGTTGAGACATCAAGGGTTAAAGGGTGACCTTATTAGAACATTTCAGCTGAGTTTTCACTTCAGAGACATTTGGAAACTGTTTTTTTTATCTAAAGTAGAATTCCTAAGTAAGGTAACTCTGTTGTGAAAACTGACTCTGGAAACCTGGATTGGTGAGTATGATGGTTCAACAAGCTGGGAATTCACTTAGAACATCATTTCAAAGGTAGAAAAATTGGTGTTGTGTTTGCTGTCATCTGTAACAACATGAAGTTTCAAGGGTTTTGGCAGGCATGCATGAAGAATTTTGGAGCCTAAAAATCACAGAGACGAACTCCCTGGATACATTTACTGTTGCTAGCTGAGATGATGAAATGACTAAAAAGCCGTAAGAAGGGCTCTTCATAGAGCCCCTTTTCTGAGAAGTTTGTATTGCATGGCATTAGGAAGATGGTCACGTGCTTTTAAAAGATTCCATCTACATAGGAATGAGTGCAATGCTAACATGAAGTGGAGCAGGATTACTCTATAGATTTCAAACTATTCATGCATTCACTCTACAATGCATTCACTCAGCAAATATTTTCTAAGCTTTTTATTTTCTGGGATTTTTTTTTTTTTTTAAGACAGTCTCACTCTGTCACTCAAGCTGGAGTGCAGTGGTGCCATCACAGCTCACTGTAGCCTCAACCTCCTGAGCTCAAGTGATCCTCCCACCTCAGCCTCCTGAATAGCTGGGACTACAGGATTAGTCCCGGAGCCAATTAGACTAAAGAGTACTTGGATGCTGCCCCTATTTTGATTCTCATTTTCAAACAAGTACCTGGTTTTGCTGCAAATGGCAAGAAAAAGTCCACTACTACAAGATCGGCTGATTTTTGCATTTTTTTGTATAGATGGAGTTTTGCCATATTGCCTAGGCTAGTCTCAACTCCTGAGCTCAAGTGATTCACTCTTCTCAGCCTCCTGAGGTACTGGAATTACAGGCATGAGCCACCATGCCCAGCCTCTATGTGGCGGTTCCTGGGAGCCAACAGAGATAGTTGTCTGATTAACTGTATCTTCTAGCAGTGACTGGGGGCCAGGTAGGGAATAGAGAGAGATGGTAAATGCATAAAATAAATGTGGAAAACAAGATTATAAGAGCAAGTAATCATACTTTTAAAGGACAATGAATTCCAAAAAGGAACAAAATGAGCTTCTTTGCTGTCTCAAAAAAAAAAAACGCATATGTTACCCAAATGCCCATCGACAATAGACTGGACAAGGAAAAGGTGGCACATATACACCATGGAATACTATGCAGCCACAAAAAATGTTGAGTTTGTGTCCTTTCTAGGGACATGGATGAATCTGGAAACCATAATTCTCAGCAAACTGACACAAGAACAGAAAATCAAACACTGCATGTTCTTACCCATAGGCAGGTGTTGAACAATGAGAACACATGGACATAGGGAGGGGAGCATCACACACTGGGGTCTGTTGGTGGGGGCCAAGGGAGGGACAGCAGGGATAACATAGAGAGAAATGCCAGATGTAGGTGACGGGGGGATGGAGGCAGCAAACCACATTGCCATGTGTGTACCTATGCAACAATCCTGCATGATCTACATGTGTACCCCAGAACCTAAAGAGCAATAAAAAAAAAGAAAGGAAAACGTGTATGTTGAATAACACCTTCCAAAATATAGTCATTGTTACACAAAAGAAATGTGTTTTAGGTTATTGGAAAAATTATCCTGAAGGAGCTGGCATTGATGTCCTTCCTGAATCTGTAAGCAGGTAAATAATGGAATCATCATTCAGAGTCAGACCGCAGGGCACTGCCACCTGGTTGAGGGTGCAAAGCCTGCAGCAAGCTCAGCTCACAAAGCTGCCTGGGTGCCCGCAGTCTTTTTCACTTTGCCATTGAGTTTGCTGCCCCCTAGCTTTCCATAAGGCATAATCCTGAGAGTAGGTCATGATTAGTGAGGGAGGAAAGAAGCAGCTCCATGGGGTAAGCTCGCCATGCATGTCTTGGAGAGGCAGCTTCCAGAAATTCCTGGTCAGGTTTAGAGGTGGTGATCTGATTGGAAAAGCTGGAGAGGGGCAGTGGGAAAAGTGTCTGGAAGCTAACTCATTGCTTTTACTTAGGTGTTTGCTATTTGGAGGCTTGGAAAGAGGTCGATGGGGTACCCCTTGGCCACTGATGCCCTTATCAACGGGCATCAGTATTTCACTGGGTGGGGATGCGATGCTTCCATGGTTGGTTTGGTAGCCATAGGAACTCGCTGTGGTGGTTGTTTAGAATAAAATATGAAGCCTTTATTAATACATTAAATACCAAGATCTATCAGTAGCTTTATAATTTTAGAGTAGTGATGAATGTAATGATATTTTAAAATATCTATAACAACTGTAAAATAATATGAAAATAACTGGATTTCATTGGTGATAAGGTCATAGATATTGCTAACACTACTGCGTTTTGTTGCCTGTATTTATAAAGGAAGAAAATTTCAGTTAGATGTCAGTGAACGTAACGCCTTTTTTTTTTTTAAATCCAAATTTATAAACCTGATGAATTCAATCCCTGGCCCTTTGGCAGTCTGAGGATTTCATTTTTAAAAATTTCTGATTTGGCCAGGCTCTGTAATCCCAGCTCTTTGGGAGGCCAAGGCGGGTGGATCACCTGAGGTTGGAAGTTTGAAACCAGCCTGACCAACATGGAGAAACCCTGTCTCTACTAAAAACACAAAATTAACTGGGCATGGTGGCGCATGCCTGTAATCCCAGCTACTTGGGAAGCTGAGGAAGGAGAATCACTTGAGCCTGGGAGGTGCAGGCTGCAGTGAGCCGAGATCACACCATACACTCCAGCCTGGGCAACAAGAGCGAAACTCCGTCCCCCCCAAAAAAAATTCCTGACCTATAAGAAGACCAAAGTACTCACACCAAGAGAGTGAAAGGGGAAATAATAATAGAAATCAACACAATATTAATAATATTAAGAAGAGAAACTGTTTAATGTGGTCTGTGTATTTGTAAATTTCTACTGCCAGAGATATACAAAATTCAGTATGGAGTAAAAACTATGTTTTGAAAGAGAATCAAAATATAAAATGACACCAAATTAAGATGTAAATATTTTCTCAAAAAAATTTAAGATGTATCCATTCCAAGTTCAAATACTATGTGAAGATACGATCAAGGAGAAGAAATGCCATAATAAAGTAGAGCTAATGACAAAAGAAATCAGTTAGATTTTTGGATGCATGTATTCTTGAGAACAGTCTCTAGGCATTGTAAAATCCTTATGAATCAAGATATATAATGATGTCGTATGAGAGACCTTCAGCAAGAAACTATATCAAGTCACTCTAGATTCGTGTGTGTGTGTGTGTGTGTGTGTGTGTGTGTGTTTTCAAATGCTAATATTAGAGTTACTGGTAACAAATCATAGATTCCAGGCAGATCACTGGAGTTCGGGAAAGAATATTTAGCAAGAAAATTGACCAGGTATGGTGGCTCACACTTGTAATCCCAGCCCTTTGGGAGGCCGAGAGGGGCAGATCACTTGAACTCAGGAGTTTAAGACAAACCTGGGCAACATAGCAAAACCCCATCCCTACAAAAAATACAAAAATTAGCTGGGCACGGTGGTGCCCGCCTGTAGTCTTAGCTACTTGGGAGGCTGAGCTGGGAAGATAGCTAGAGCCCAGGAGGTGGAAGTTACAGTGAGCTGAGATCATGCCACTGCACTCCAGTCTGGGTGATAGAGCCAGACCTTGTCTCAAAAAGAAAACAAAAAAAGAGAGTATTTAGTAGGAAAATGATGTTGTATTTGGGCTAGGACATTGCTTTGGTGGACTGCTCTTATCATTTGTTTCTTGTACCAGGACACAGACCAACACCTTAGCTAAAAGGAACTCCCTGTTGGTTTTGCTTTTCCTTTACTGGGGTTGGATTCCTACAGTATTTTTCTATAAAATAATCATTCCTATTTCTTAAGCATCAATGAAAAATAATAGTATTTTTATTCTTCCAGAAGCTTCCCACTGCCTGGAAAAGAAGGGAAGGGGTGGGGAGATTGACAGGGGCGGGGAGGTTCATAATACCATTACTTGAGCTGGCAGCCTCTTTGCTACCTGACTTCAGGGAAATGACAGGAAGAGCAGGTATAATTGGGACAAGAAGGACCCCAGGCTAGAGGCAGAGCTGTCATTCTGCCTGCTGACTTTAAAATGCCTTCTTGCCCTCTCTTATTTTAGAATGCAGGTCTGGTGACTGTCACTACCACTCCTCTCAACTGTGGCCCTCGACTGAGGATGCTCCTGGGTCGCCCCGCACATGAAAAGCTGCTGATGCTGCTTCCCGTGGGGTACCCCAGCAAGGAGGCCACGGTGCCTGACCTCAAGCGCAAGCCCCTGGACCAGATCATGGTGACGGTGTAGGCAGGGACCCTCAAGGAAGCGGTGGAGAGGCGACGCCCCTGCTTCTCCCTGCGCCTCTCGCCTGCTCCTCTGGGGTCTCTTGGCTGCCCTTTCCCCAGGTGTCGGGTCTCCCCGTCCCATCTCTTCTCAGGTGGCCACAAGGAGTCAAGAAGCCTCTCCACATTCTGTGGCACTTCACCTCCCATAAGTCCTGTTTCTTTTCCACTTTGGAAATGCATGAACACTTTATAAAGAACGTGGCCTAGTTTTTAAGCTTTAAAAGTTATTCTAGAAAATCACTATTGGCTTTTTTTTTTTATTTTTAAAAAACTCACCTAGAGGAGACAGAAATTTATCATAGTCTCAAAATTTCAGCTACATGATGACTCGAATTTAAATTTAGATTAATCAAATGGTCTCTTGCTCTTGGATTTCTGCTGGCTTTTAGACAAAGGATATACTTTTGAGATATACTTTTTAAACTGAACTTCAGGGACACCCTGCTAGTTTGGGATAAATAGCCATTGAAGGAACTAAAATGTGGCCGGGGCAGTAGCTCATGCCTGTAATTCTTGCACTTTGGGAAGCTAAGGAGGGTGGATTGCCTGAGCTCAGGAGTTTGAGACCAGCCTGGCCAACATGGTGAAGCCCCATTTCTACTAAAGATAAAAAAAAAAAAAAATAGCTGGGCACTGTGGCACATGCTTGTAATCCCAGCTACTCAGGAGGCTGAGGCAGGAAAATCGCTTGAACCCCGGAGATGGAGATTGCAGTGAGCTGATGCTGAGATGCGCTACTGCACTCCAGCCTGGGTGACAGAGTGAGATTTTGTCTCAAAAAACAAAAACAAAGTTACTAAAATGTCACCTTCACAGAACAGACCAGGGCACGCTTGGGTCTCATGGGCCTCGCTGGCATGTAAAGCGTCAGTCGCACTGCCTAGTGGTGTGGTAGATCTGACTTGCAGCAATTCATAGAAGCTGGTAAATACTCAAGAATCTTGCGAGCCAATTATTAAACATTCATAGCTTGAAATTGCCCATGGTGTGAGAATTTACACCACAACCACTACAAATCAGGGCTTGCTGAAGTCTGAGCCCTGTTCCAGGTAACCAGAGACCCAACAACCAAAGGCAAAGTATAAGCCTTGATTGGATTTTGGTCTAGGAAAAATCTCATGGGTATAAAAGACAAGTGGGAATGTCGAATGTGGATCTGGTGGTAGGTGATATTGTAGTGATGTGAGTGATGCCTGCTGAAGTACGGAGAGATGAAGCATCATATTGACAACTTCAGGAAAAAAGAGGTGCGTGCGTATGTGTGTGTTCAGAGAGTGTGAGAGAGAACTGACATGGTAAAACGTTAGGTGGAGCATATACAGTTCTCATTATACTCATTTAAAATTTATGTTTGAACACAGTCAAATCTGAATGGAAATACATGTAAATAAGCATTTCTTTGAGTCATATAAATAATTTGCCTAAAAATGCCCTCTAAGTACATCGTTAGGTTAAGCGATTTACTGAAGACAGCAGATATCATGCTTATTTCATTGGGTTATCTTGGAATGCCCCCCAGTAGGATAGTTAGAGGTGTGAAAATGAGAACCAGATGAGAAATAAGGCGAGAGGCTCACATTGCTCGCAGAGAACCGACTGAGTAATCGAGGAGAGGAAGGAAGCCCTTTGAAGGAATGTAAAATCCATTTCAGCCTGCCTGCCCCATGGAATGGAGCCACTTCTTCTGCCCCAAGCACACCCCACACTAATTTCTGCTGCAGCATCAAGATCAGGGCAAATTAGCACAGGCAGTCCCCCAGCCATCGGTAGTATCTGCAAAAGTAAAGACAATTTTCTTCCTTCTCTCTGCAGCCCCAAGCTCTTATTAACCTTCTTTTAAGTGTTCATTACATGTAGTCATGTGACGACTGTGTTCAAAGGTAGAAATAGTGGTCTGGGAGGCTGATAGATCCTCTTGCTGTTTTGAGGCCTTAAAACAGAAAAAATAATGGAATGATTGCATCATTGTGAGGAAGAATACTTAATTAAGAAACTTGACAATGGTTTGTCTTACTGATAGGACTCACCCGAAGTCTCTACTTTGCCAAAAGGGAATACTGAATTGAAAGCTGTGTTAGCCAGCAGAGGGTAGAGCCGTGGTCCTCATACTTGCTGGCATTACTCATCTGGGAGTCTGTTAAAGCACAGATTGCTGCGCCACACCCTCAGGGTGTGTGATTCAGTAGGGCTGGGTAGTGCCCAAATGCTCCATTTCTAAAATATTCCCAGGTGTTGCTGATGATGGTGATTGGGTACCACATTTTGAGAACCACGGGGCACTGGCAATCACCAAATGCAATGCTTCTATGACTTGACGTGAGAGAAGTTCATTTCTTGGGCAGGCAAAGTCCCCTGCAAGCCTGGAAACGCTCCAAGACAATTGCTTGCATGGGGTAACCCAGTAATCCTTTGGGATGCACCTTCCAGGACATGGCTAGAGAAAACACTGGAAGAGCTCACCCCAACAATTCCATTCTACCTTGGCCCAGGAGTGACCTCCTCACTCTCACAGCCCATTGGCTAGAACTAGTCATGTGACCTCACAGGAGGTGGAGCAATGTCATCAATGTTACCATCCCCCTGCACCTGCAAGGAAGAGGGCCCAGTTGTGCATAGGTGCTGGATGTCTCTTCTCCAAAATACGTAACTCTGAATTTGGAAAATAAAGTTGGATATAACAACAAAGAAAAGGAGAGGAGAAGGAAAGTTGAAGAAAATGGCGAAATCAGAATAAGACAGTGAAAGGCACAAATAGTTTCTTCTGGAACACTAAGATTGGTTAATATTTGTCTGACACAGCTCAGCATCGCTTTGGGTCAAGGAAAATCAATACAAACATATATAAAGCAGAACCAAGATTGACTTCTTCCTAGACATTCCTGCCTCTGCCCACAAAATGGAAACTTCCATCAAGAAGTACAGGAGAGTCTAGCCTATCTTCCTATTTGCTCCTCCCTGTGAAAGGTAGGGTGACTTCTCTGATGCATTAAATTGGTGGTAAATAGTTATTGCTCATGCTCCAACCCCAACAAAGTGCACCCCATTTTAAGCCAAATTTACAAACTGGGGATGATCCACCTTGCAAAGATGATCCACCAGTTGGTTTCTTTATTTACTTTATTCTTGCTCTGTCACCCAGGCTAGAATGCATTGGTGTGATCGTGGCTCACTGCAGCCTCCAACTTCTGAACTCCAGTGATCCTCTTGCCTCAGCCTCCCAGGTAGCTGGCACTACAAGTGCACGCCACCACACCCAGGTTAGTTTTTCTAAATATTGGAGTTCCCAAAGAGTATTCAAACTGATGTGATATTTTAAAAGACATTTTGTAAGCATCTTTTAGGACTATCCATAACTGGAAGAAAAACACATAGTTATCAGTGGATATTGCACCTGAGAGGCATGAGAAATATAATTATTATTTTGCTAGGTATCAGCAGAGTGCTCTCTTACAATATGTGTGAAATGGAAACAATGGTAACACCATGTTTTCAACTCACTCATAGATACAAGTAATGAGAGGTCCAGAAGAAAGGTTGCTCCAGCTCTGCTGCTACTGTGCCTCCCCTCTCCTGCCCCCACCCACCTCACAAAAGAGGCTGGAGACTGAAAAAAAGGCTGTGTGTTTCTCTACCTTTTAGAAAGGGTGAATAGCAGAGAACTGGAGGTGAGAAAGGTAAGGAAACTTCCATTGGGAGAGTGGAGGCAAGGGGCTGATGCATCTAAGGCTGATGCCAGGCCTGCTCCCTATCTGGGTGGCCTCAGCTAATGAGGTCCAGGACATTCAGGGGCAGGCACGAGGGAGAACAGCCCCTGAAGCTGAGATCCTGCCAAGCTAAATACAGTAGTTCTAATGAAATGTGAGAGGCTATAATCTCATTTGGGAAATTCCTAAAAAGTCATGAGACAGGGGAATGGTTTATGTTATTATCATGACCTGAGAGTCATGGCTCAGAGCCAAATGTTCAGGATTAAATTCATCAGCACATAAATGTCTTTAGAGTGAGATGAAAATATGTTAGCAATGCCTGCAGAGTGCCAAGTAAATGCAGAAGCCAATGAGATCATAAAGGAAGTTGTTAGCTAACTTAGGTAGAGTCTCTAACTTCCTTCTACTCTAATATTTAAAAATAAAAATAGTAATTAAGAGGTAATTGGAATAAAGGTTCTAAAATCAAACCCCTCTGAAAGGTGAAGACTGGGAGCCTCCTGTTGCCATAGCAATGCCGGCTCTTAGGGCGCTGTCTCCCAGCGCTGGAGTATTGTCTTCTGACCTGAGCTCCTAAGCAACCTCTGCTCATCTGAGATGTCCACCATATTGTGGGCATGAATCCTTAACAATAGTAAATAGTAAGTCAGTTCCCTTGTTGGGCAAATGACTTAAGTCTGGGAATGTGTAGAATTAATTACGAAAATGATGCAATAATTCAAATCCATAACACTGATACTTTCATGTTAAGGTTAGGAATAAACTTGTGTATTTTCCTTAAGTGATTTGAATCTTTAAAAAGCTTATGATTCCAATCTGAAATGTGAAATTTATTTTAAGTTTGTCATTTGAAGTTGAAAGGTATAAGAATATTTAACTTAGCTCATTAATGGTATCAGACTAGATTTACTGTGTTTATAAGTTAAATGTATTGGATTTACAAGGGATGCTCAAATATATGAGGATGTTTTGCCTTAATTTGTGATAATCTTACCATATCAATGATTTGAAGTGCTAAAATAGAAAATCAAATATGATAAATTATATAAGCAGTTTAGAAGGTTTAAGAGATTTTAATAAACAAAGTCTGCAACTGAGACTGATGATTTAAGGGAGTTTGGTTTATTTAGCTTAAGTTAATCAAATGTTAGTTAAAGTCCCCCTTCCCCAAATTTGTTTTATTTTATTTGTTTACTAGATTTATAAGTAGAACAATAGAATGTGTGTATTAGGTCAGAATGCTTTTGACAGAAAGTAATAAACTAGCACAAAACCTCACTATGACCTAAACAAATAGGGGATGATTTTTCCCTCCTAGTGAGAAGTCTCAGTAGATAATAGATGCTGGTCTGTTGGTTCAATGAAGTTAGCGCCAAAGTCTCAGTGGTTCTCTTGGCCTTTCTTCATAGCCACAGGATGCTGTTATAGCTTCACCAATCACAATAAGTACAGTGCTTGAAACATAATAGGTGTTCAATAAATATTCAGTACCTATTGAATGTGTACAAAAATATATATGTAGTCATAAAATTTTAGATGCAAGAGCTGAAAGGGACATAGGAATCTGTGTTGTTAACATGTGATCCAGGTGGTTCTGCTGACCAGGTGAGTATGGTAAATGTGGTAAGCGTTCTCAACTGAGCTTAGCAGTCCTAGGGCTGTTAGTACCTTTCATCTGCCAGGGCCTCCCTGGTCTAGACCTCCAGCCTTGACCTTGCCCTGAAACTCCAAACTCTTACTCCCAGTACTTTCTCTGCCCCTCCACTTAGATGTCAGTAGGCACGGAAACCTTTTCATCCTTGAAGTACTACTTTTGAGTCCTTCCTGTCCCTTACTTGGCCCTTCAATTCATACTTTTTGGGGTGGAGCCCCAAATCTAGGAATCATCTACATTAGTCCATTCTCACACTGCTAATAAAGACATACCTGAGACTGGATAATTTATTTAAAAAGACATTTAATTGATTCACAGTTCAGCATGGCTGAGGAGGCCTCAGGAAACTCACAATCATGGCAGAAAGAAAAGCAAACATGGCCACAGGAAGCAAAAGAATGAGAGTTTCTTATAAAGAAGCCCCTTATAAAGCCCTCAGATCTCAGGAGAACTCACTCACTCTCATGAGAATAGCATGGGGGAAACAACCCCATGGTTCAATTATCTCCCATCAGTTCCCTCCCATGACATGTAGGGATTCTAGGAATTACAATTCAAGATGAGATTTGGGTGAGGACACAGCCAAATCATATCATCATCTCAAATTTCTGTGATTCTCTCATTCTCCACATCCAAATCTATGAGGAAGTTATATTGACTTTATCTCTGAACACTGACCATGGGAGGGGACTGAGGTGAAGCAATGTGAACAGAAAGATCATGCTGCCTCCTGCTGTGAATAATAAAATATCTTTCTCTGACGCAGGAGTCTCATGTCTTCTGTCAGCATCCACATGACTAAGTCAGGCTATCTTGCTATCTTGCAAGGATGGTAAAATCTTGGGCCCTTTATGGTTCATGACCCTTGGCATTAGATGATCTCTCCACCTGCAATGCTCCTGCCTTAGATATTGTCATGGCTGCTCCCTTCATGTCAGTCATGATTCAGCTCAACCCAGTATCTCTGCTGAGAAGCTTTCCTTGACCACCCAATCTACAGTACCCACCACCAAAACTCAATCACTTCAGATGTTTATTTTCTTCAGGGCAGTTATCATTATTTAATAAATTTTAAAATGTTTATAGGGCAACATTTAAAATATATACACAAAATACTAATAATATTATGATAAAAGCTATGTAAACACAACTTAAGATACAAAATATTATCAAAACAGGTGATATCCCCTGTGTATTACTCCCCAATTTCATCCTCTTTCCTCCCTCCACAGAAGAAAGCTCTAATCTAATTTGGTCTTTTTAATGCCCAGGTATGTAAAAAATACTCTCACCACTAAATAGTATCTCGTATTACTTTGTCCATTTTAAGTCTACATAGATGGCATTACGCTTTACATGTTTTTCAGCAACATTCTTACGTTACGCTTGTGAGATCGTCCATGTTGACATGTGCAGCCCTAGGTCATTCATTTTCACTGCTCTACACCATCGTAGGAACATATCACACATTTTTCATTTTCTTATGAGTTGTCATTTAAATTCTTTTATGTTCATTCTTTGTCCTCTGGGAATGTTTAAGAATTTCTCTAGGGTATATACCTAAGAGTAGACTTACTAGGTCAAACAGCAGTCAGATTTCAACTTTTCGTCAAAATCATGCCAAATTGTTCTTCAAAAGTTTTCCCCCACCTGCTGATTTTTAAAAACTCATTTACTGAGTAACTGTCATAATGAAATCGTAAATTTTAAGATGACTTACCAATCATGCTCCCCTCCCTCTTCCTGGTGCCAGTAGCTGCTATGCGAATATTTGTTGAATGGTTGGAGAAATGTAGGGTGAGAGAGGTGCTGTGAATTGTCTAGGGTCACAAAACTATCTTAGTGACCAAGCAGGATTTGAGCCCAGGCTGCTGACTCCCTAAGAGGAAGTGGTAATTGTAAAGACAATTCCCCAAGCTGTGATTCCAAGAGTCCTTTCCCAAGAAAAAGTCTTACATGAATTCACACTGCATAACCAGGGCCCTTCCCACAGTGCCTGCGCTGGAGTGGGCCAGACATGCTCCCAGTGCAGATGGGAGTTGCAGTTCTGGAAGATTCTTCAGCAGATGCACATCTGAACCCCAGAGTGCAGGAACTGAGTCTGCAGTGATGGGGCTGGAGTAGCAGAAGGATCCCAATAGGGTGCGGAATGGTGGGGTAAGTGGGTCACTCCACTGACCCTCAGAGGTTTTCTGTACAAAGCCCTGAGGTCACATCCACCTTTAATTTAAAAGGTAAAGAAGGAAATGCAAAGAGATCTTCCCTCCAACTCCCCCACTGTCCTTGGAGGACAGCCCTGCAGATTGCTTTGAGCAGAGTTGGAGGGCCCCACGGGGACAGCGCAGATGCATGCACAAATTTGGACACCGTTGGTTTGGGGTCTTCAGTCTGTTTATTTTGGCCCTTTCTTCTAGTCAATTTGCATTTGGTTTTCATCCCACACTGTCTTGGATCCAGCCTGGAACGTATAAATCACTTAGCTAGCAAGGGAACAGCAGGGCCACCAGAAGGATGGAAAAGAAAACCCCCAAAGTGGGGTTAAGGAAGGGAAAAAAGGCAAGGAGAGAGAGAATGGCAGACAGGAGGCAGCAAGAAGCTGAGAAAGCAAGCTGCGATTGTGCCTCCTCGTCTCCTGAGGATCAGCCCAGCCAGCTGGGATACCTGGAGAGAAAGTGGAGACGCTAGACAGCATGTGTGCAGAAGAAATATAAAATAGAACAAAACAAGCCCATTAATCTAGCTTCAAGGAGTCTGATCACCACTCACAGGGTCTGCTTCCAAACAGGGGTTTCCACTAAATCAACCTGAACCTTCTGCTATGCCCACTGGGCTCAGATCCGGAACCCCCTTCTATGTCCTTCTCCCAGATTTCCCTCCCCATCCTTGAAGGCCAAGCCTTTGTTACTTTGTCAAAGCCTCCCTGGACTCTCCCATCAGACTTCAGTAGGGAAAGGGGAAGTCTGAGTTCATCTCTTTCGTCTGAGCATCCCGGGCTCCCTTCCTATGACGCTGACCACTCTCCTCCTCAGGCCAAGTCTTCTGCTAGACTCTCAGCTCTCAGGGAGCAGAGACCAGTCTACCTCAACTCTGTGTCCTGGGACTCCTGGGGGCCACGGTAAGTATTGGCTGGTAGGATTGTTATGGCAGAGAATCCTTGCGCTTTGAATGACCACTGGATGGTTGCAAGACTTCACCAAAACCTTTTCTGCATTTTTGCAGAACTCTTGGGAAAAATGAGTGCCTGAGTCTCTCTGATTTAGCAGCTAAATAAACCAGTTACAACACAACCCACATAATTACAGGGAGTGTTGAGGGGGGAGGTGTGAGGAGCGTGGGGCTGTGGGATGGGGTTACGCTTAGTGTAAATTCTTTCCTCTTTGCTGCTCTGGGTTTGTAATATAGTTTTGGTCTGACTAAACATTATGCTTTTGTGAAATTCTGGACTGGAAAAGAAATTGAAAGTTTATTTCTAAGCCCATCTTCTGCTCTTGGAAGGAATAAACACACCCACGCTGCTGCACTCTAAGAGATTACAGGACTGCTCAGACAAGATCTGTCCAGGTAGAGAGATACCATGGCTAAGTATTTCCAGAAGGGGAATTTAAAACAAGGAATTGATTGCAACAGGGGGGACAGCGAGGCAAGAGTGATTAGCCCTGACCCCTCCCACCCAGTGCTAGAGGGACAGGCATAGAGAGCCCTCACCAGAGCCAGAGATCTGGGAGCACATGGAGGAAGCTGGAACCACAGAGAGCTTGCCAGGTAGGGCTGGTGCCAGGGCAATGCAGCCACAGCCAAGGATGCTGGAGGCTGAGAGGAGGAAGAGTCATATCCTGAGTTTTCTCTTCCTCCCACCAATGTTTCCCATTGGCTGAATTAACCCCCCTCCCTCCTTTCCTTCTTTCTCTTTTTTCTGCCTTCTTCCTTCTTTCTTTCTCCATTTTTGTTTTATGAAAAACTTTTTTTTTAAGAGAAGGGAAAATTTTTCTAGAGCTCATCAGTATCTCCAAGCACATTTAAAATAAAGCAGTAAAAAAGATAGTGCCCTTGTGTCCCTGACAGCAATGAGGAATGATGCCTTTTCCTCGCTGATTTCAAAGCACCCATGTGAACTCCAGACGAATGAACCCATCTCACTGGAAATGTGGTGGGATATCGGGACACAGTGGCTAGTGGGTAGAAGCATGAGCCCTGGAGCCAGACACCTTGGCTCTTCTCCTAACTGGTGATCTTGGGCAAGTGTTTCAACACCTCCATTGAAGAAAGGGGGAAGTGATCACAGTATTTGCTACTTCATGGGATCAGTGTAAGGATTACAAAGTTAATACATTTAGAGGTCTTAGAACAGCACCTGGCAAACAATGAGAGCTGTGACTTCGAGAAGCTTCCTAAGTGGTCCTGTGTACTCAGCCGTCTTCCAGCAAGGCTCCTCAGAATAGAAAACCTGCTTCGGCATGCCTCCTATTAGGGCAGTATTTGGACTTAGGGATCAAGTATCATCAATCTTTAGCTTTTAGTCAAACACACACTATTTCTACCCGTAAGAGTCAAGTGCTGGCTTGGCATCCTGCCAAGTGTCATCTGGCCAGGACCCAATTAAACTAGAAGCAGGAAGTAAGAAAGACAAAGGAGCCCCACTTTCTGTCTCAAAATGTTATTTCAAAGACTTCCAGGCTCAGCTGCTGCCCCAGCACAAATCAGGGCTAACGTGCCGCACCTGCAGAATCAGGGCTCTGCCACCAGCCTGTGACTCGGCCACCCAGCGCCAGGCCAGGGTGCTTGAAGGAGTTCGAGGGCATTGGTCCAACCGTTTGGTTGGCAGCTTGGGCCAGCTCCTCCAAACCAACTCTACAAATTGGTTTCTCAAGTACCTTTTCCCCGGGTTCTTGTGTGGTCTCTTCTTTACCTTTCAAAGTTACAGTATTAATTTCTGAAAGAATTAAAATTGAGCTAGTGATCCCATAAGGATATATTACCTTAAACTCAATATATTAACCATCAAAACAAAAAAGGACTCTATAAAACAAAACAAAAAGGACTCTCTATGTATGAAATATCTGAGACCCGCCAAGTATCAGGCAAAGATTCAGTCCCTAAAATTAAAATGGGGTCTTGTAAAACTTTTAACACAGACTCTTTGTGAACCTAGAAGTTAGGAGAATTCTGATTTTCAGTTAGGTGTTAAAATGTAATTAAATGAACACTTCTGCAATTCTCTTAATTTAGGATTAAGGGAATTAAATGATTTAACTTATGCCAGTTTTCATCCATGCATGATTTTTTTTTTCCATGTTGAAAGCAAAACTCAGAGTTTCCTAGCTTAGAGGCAGAAACTCAACCAGAGTCAGTGTGAACTCTGGCAGTGACCTTAGAAAAGGGAAATTGTGGGGGAGGAGCTGGAGAGAAAATATAGCTTAAAAGAGACAGGATGTCCACTAATTAAAACTAATACAGGGCATTAACATCAGAGCTAATGGATGGTAGCTTTAATTCTTTAAGACTTCATTCATATCTAAACATGTGTTTCAATGGCCAAGTTCATCATTGATCTATTATGAGTATTTGTTAATTGCATGGATCTCTCTTATTTTTAAAAATATATCTACTTTCAATAAATATTTAAGGCAAGTGACGCTGTTAAAACTTGTTTAAAAAACAAAAAAGGAGAGAAGGCAAGTTCTAATGAACTATTTCTCTTTTCCGGCACTCTTGTCTGTAAATATATAAACCTTAATTCAAGAGGATCACATTTCATTGAGTTGTCTAAACATAAGCTCGCTTGTAAATAGCCTGAGTGTGGAAAGGCTTTTCTAAAGAATATTTCAGTGTTTGTTCTTCATCACTTAAAGCTGCAGTCTTAATTTTAATATGACGTGTGGCATTCCAGACATAGAAGAATTCATAGATCGTAGCCATGGAGATAAATGACATGCTTCAAAATGATAAATTATATTGAGGTATTAAAACTTCTCCAAGTCTTACGTACAAATAGGTATGATTTAAAATGCCATTTTCCTTTTTATAAGCCATACTTCAATGATTGATCACAAAAAGAAAGCTGGAATATTTTATTCAGCCAATTTTCAGATCTCTGTTTTTCAAAGTCAAGTTTAGAATGGAGAGATTCTGACAGCTCTGGGTTTCTTCTCAATAGTAAATTATGTGTGCTCTTCGCTGTTCCTCATTTGGAATTATTAATTTATAAAATGAAGCCTTGAAGTGAGACGTCTTTATCAAACCTAAAACTTAGGAAGCAAATACAGATAATAACTGCTGAGCCAACATTGGCCAAGATTCTTTAAGGAGAGAAAAACCAGTCATCGTAAAGACTGATGTTGTCAGCCACTCAGAGTGGTCAAATGCCTCGTCTATAGGAGTCAGAATAAAACCTTTGTGTTCCTCTTCTGTGGGTCACATCAGCCACACCTGCTCTGTTCCTTTAAGAATCAGCTGAGATCAGGTATATTTTGAAGTTGTAAAGCACCATTTACATATTAGATGTGATAGTCACAGTGGGAACAGAAATATTAGAGATTCGATTCAAACCATTCTTATTCCTAAAAAAAAACCCAAATATGTCCTATAAAATGGAGTCAGTGTCAACTCTCTCTATTTCAAAGGACAGCAAAGGAAATAAATAGCCACTCTAAAAATGGAATTGAAACAATTCAATAATCCCTGAAAATTAAAAAAAAAATGCTTTTCCCAATGATCTTCAGTTTCAAAACACAATAGATCTGACCACTGCCTTCTTGACAGATAATATTAATATAAGCAATCATATAACACGTGTCTTAAGAACCCAACACCTACAATTATAATATTAGTTGTACTTTGTAAAACAGAGCACTCTTCAAAAATCAGTCTAAGATTAAATCCAAATGATTTAACCATGGGACACAAATTGTTCTGTGAACTTGCTCTAAAGATAAATTGTTGGACTGAAAAAATCAGAAGACTGACTTTCATCATCTAATGAAGAATAGAAATGGAAAAAATTTAATTTTTTCACAATGGCTCATGTGTCTTAGTTTTGCTTTTCAAGGCACTAGTTTCAGCAGCAAGACATAGTTTGTTCATAGGCTCTCTAAGTGTAAAACAAGAAGTATGCAGAGTTTATATTGATGTGAGAATGACTCACTTGACAACTATTTGGATCTGTAGAAACCTCAGTCATCTAGTTCAGATGTTCCAAACCCCACCCAATATTTTCCCTCTAAGATCCTTAAAATAACTGTCACAAAACCCATCCTAAAGAAACAGAACAATCTTCCACAACCAAGATGTTCAAATATTTACTCATAGTTGGTTTACTCTATTTTACAAACAATTCTAAAAGCACACTTATTTAATTTCCCTGCATATAGTAAATAGAAACAGGAATTTAAAAGGTGAGAGAAGAAGAAAAAAACAGGAAGAAACAACATTAAGAAAGATGTGTGAGCCCAAGTGGATGGTAGCTCACACCTGCAGTTCTAGCTACTTCAGAAACTGAGATGGGAGGATCACAGGAGTCGGGCTCAAGTCCAGCCTTGCAACATTAGCAAGACTCCCTCTCTAAAAAGTAAATAAGAAAAAGAAAGATATAAAAGCTGACTGTGTAATAGGTAGGCAAGAAACAGAAAGATAGAACCAAGATTCACTCACCACAATCAAAGGACAGTAAACTTTCAAGGGTATTTGCCAACTGAATAGTGTTTAAGGCTATCAGTGCATTCAGTGATACATTTCAAAGTGAATTAAAACATAGAAAGACAAAGGAGGACACATTAAAAAAGTTTTTTTCCCTGTGGAAAATTTGGGACATGTATGAAAAAACTGTCATGAGCTTGCATCTTAGAAATGAGCACTGTCAACAATATGTTGAATTTCCTCCTGCTGTCACCATGTGCAGTAAATTTGCATACACTAAGATCTTATCACTAGACCAGTCCCTAATGCCTGTCCTTGCTCTTTAAGTAGAAGCTAACTGTTGGAGCTACTGAAGGGAATCAGTGGATCTGAAGGGGTTCTGGGTGTTTTCTCCATAGTGTTGTAAGGTAAATTGATCTTCTAGAAGAAACTATGAAGGTCACAACCATTCTAAAGTGATATCATTGCATTTTACTGATGTGTTAAATTTGTTGTGATAAAATGTAAAAATCTGCAGACCTACCTCCTTTAGCTGTGTCAAAAGGGCAGCCACATCAGCAATTTCACATACAACAAAATGTCCACCAGTCTGCAGATCTGCTTTTGAAAATACTATTTTGATAACTGGAAAAATGAAGGCGAGTATCTAGAACACAACAACATGTATGAATCCAGCACTTGCAATAAATGCATATTTACATTTTGTAATTTTGCATTCTTTTAAAAATAAAAGTAACCAGGCATTACATGTAAATGGGTAATACCTCATGAGTTTCTTCTTGGTTTTGATGCAGGGCAGGTAAGCTCCCAGATTGGGGCTTAGCCTGGGAGGGTTCTTGGCTTTACCCAGAAAAACTTTAAATATGAGCCAGTAGGGTTAGACGGCAACTTCTACTGATGCAGCTGTGCACAGCAGCAGCAGCAGCAGCAGAGGGACTGTTTCTTGCACAGCAGGGCCACCCCAGAGTAGCAGGGGCAGTTCTGCAGTCATATTTATACTCACTTTTAATTACATGCAAATTAAAGGGAAGGTTATTCAGACATTTCCAGAAAAACAGTGGGAATTTACCAGGTGGGAATTCCTGGTCATTGCCATGGAAAAGAGTGGTAACTTCTTTTGTGTTACCATAGCAATGATAAACTGACATGGCATTGGCGGACATGTGTGATGGTTAATACTGAGTGTCAACTTAATTGGATTGAAGGGTGTGTCTGTGAAGGTGTTGCCGAAGGAGATTAACACTGGAGTCAGTGGGCTGGGAAAGGCAGACCCACCCTCAATCTGGGTAGGCACCATCTAATCAGCTGCCAGCACGGCTAGAACATAAGCAGGCAGAAATATGTGAAAAGAGAGATTGGCCTGGCCTCCCAGCCTACATCTTTCTCTTGTGCTGGATCCTTCCTGACCTCAAACATCAGACTCCAACTTCTTCAGTTTTGAAATTTGAATTGGCTTTCCTTGTTTCTCAGGCCTATTGTGGGACCTTGTGATTGTGTGAGTTAATACTTAATAAACTCATATATATATATATATATGTACACACATACACACACACACTCCATTAGTTCTATCCCTCTAGAGAACCCTAATACAGGTCTTATAGAGAGATGCTTTCACCTCCTCCTTGTTTCAGCCAGTCTTCAATCAGGTTTGGAGTAAAGGCTTCCCTCCTACCTCAGTTTCAATTCATTCCTTTCTCTTTCTGAGGCAACCACCTCCCTGTGGGTCACTTTTGAATGAAAGGTGTCAATCACTGGCACAAATCTTTGGGACATGGCTAACAAAATGGATGCTGTCAGTAGGATATCACAAATTGTAGTTTCTCTCTTTTTCTAGGGGATGGCCATGACTTCAATGAAAGGCTTTCTAGCTCTAGCTTGGAACTTATTTGGGTTCAGATTCCGACTCTGATAAGCAATTGACCATGTGACCCTGGATGATTTACTTAAATGCCCTGTGCCTCAGTTTTCTCATCCGTAGAATGAAAATAAATATGAAATTTATAGGTTTGATGTAAGGATGGAATGAGTTAATTTACATAAATGCTTAGCATAAATCCAGATGCATAAAAAAAGACTGAAAAAATATAAACTATTTTTATGAGAACTTGAAAGATGAAGGAGGCTATATTAGGAAGTAATTGTTAGCTGTACAGACAGGGTCAATGAATGGCTTTTCTTCCCCTTGACCATGGCTTAAGAAAGCTGAAGAGTGGGATTTTTATCAAGGGACATCAACAAAGCTCTAGGCTAACATTTGAAAGGAAGATTATTCAATTTGATTAAACACATATTTATTAAGTGACTAATATTTAACACAGACAGTGAGATTTTAATCTAACAGTGAGGCAGACAAGTGAACAGCTATTCTGTCATTGCTGCTGGATGGTGCTATGTCCAAGAATAGACGCTCACCGGGAGACGAGGCTTCCTGCATGGTTCATAATAAGGAATCGGTGAACCATCAATAAAAAATGTCTTTTCAATTCATAACTGACATAAAGCTGGCATAGTTAGATGAATCCAATAGATCATAACAAGCTGGAATTAAGGACTAAAATTTTTAAAATAAGATTTAATAATGATAAATATAAATTTCAAAAACCAACTATCCAAGAGCAGCAGGGTAACAGCAGGTCGTTTGGAACAGTCTTGAGGATTTTAGCAGATTTGGTGGAAGCACTATTTCAGCTATATTACATAGTTGCAAAAAGTCCTGCAAGACTTGCACTGTATTATAAAGAGAAAACAGTGTCATGACCAATAATGGTCTCATTGTATTCCCCACTGGCCAGAGCACATTTTGCTCATATTTGAGGGATAGCTGCTTAGAAGGATATTGACACATTGCGATAACTAAAGGAAGGTATCAGAGATGGAATAGGAATGGAAACCATGACTTTATAGAAAAGGTTAATATGTGAGGAAGAAGTATTGAGGCTGAGGACATGCTAAGCAGCTTGGTATACTTTAAGATTTGTCACATGGTTTCAAACTTTACAGGAAGTTATAAGAAGGCAAACAAACTGTAAATGTCAAGAAGGGCATTCTAGAAACTATAAATAAAATGGTAAGAAAAGACTTTCCTCCCATTAGATGAATTGAATGAAACGATTAACTATCAGATAAATAGTAGAGAACTCTACTGGATCAGTGGGATGAACTAAGACAGTTCTGACTCACTCTCTCATCCTACAAATGCCCTCTTAGCAAAGTCTAGATCTGAACGGGCTGTGTAATTATTCTCCTCTGTGCTGAGTGAGGTAGAAGTATGTAGTTGACTTTATTATAATGAGGTCTTTTCGATCTCCAAAGGGCATTGGTTTGTTTTCCAGTCTGTATTTGCATTAATGTTTGCTCTTTAAAATAAAACTAATGACCACTTTACATTTACTAAGATGGATATAATAGTAATATATTTTTAAAACACAGAAAATAACAAGTGTTGGCAAGATACAGAGAAATTAGAGTCCTCATATGTTGCTGGTGGGAATGTAAAATGGTGCAGATGCTGCTGAAACAACTGGACAGCATTTCCAAGGGTTAAAGAATTGTCACATAGAATTCTCAACATGGAATTACCATGTAACCCAGAAATTCTAGTCCTAGATATACATGCCCAAGAGCATTTTGAAAATATTCATATACAAAAACTGAAAAAAGTCATGTACAAAAACTTGTATAAGAATGGTCATAGCAGGATCATTCATAACAGTAAAAGTAGAAACAACACGTGTCCACCACCAACTGATGAATGTGCAAAGTTTGGCATCATCACTCAGCCATAAAAAGAAAGAAAATACTGCGATGCCACGAGGTGGATGAGCTTTGAAAACATGCTAAGTGAAAGGAGCCAGACACCAGAGGCCACATATTGCATGATTCTATTTGTGTAAAATGTCCAGAATAAGCAAATCCATAGTAATAGAAAGTACATTTGTGATTTCCAAGGGCTGGAACAGGAAAGGGGAATAGGGAGTGATTGCTGTGGATATGGGTTTATTTTTGGAGTAATGGAAATGTTCTAAAATCAGTTTGAGGTGATGGTTACCCAACTTTGTGAATACACTAAAAACCACTAAGCTGCACTCTTTTAAATGGTAAATTTTATGTTGTGTAAATTATATCTCAATTAAAATAACATCAATGATTTGGAATAGTCTAGTTTCAAAAGTAGAATTATGTTTAAAAATTTATGATACATTTCCATTTTTCCAACTTTTCCAAAGGTTATAGAGGATTCTGGCCCCGCCTTGCTCCCCTCTTAGCCTAGCTTTTTGCTATTCTGTGCATTCAAGTTTTTATAGGTCTACATGAAGTGTGTAGTTATTCAAAACAACTTGTAACATAAACTATGACTATTCCTTCCCTGGAGATCTGGTTTTCTAATTTTTCTTCCCTGAGTTTCCTGTGGCTCTTGTACTGTGGTTGGCATTGAGCTCCCCATAGTTGAGAATGTGAGTGGCTTAGCAGAGAACTGCACAGAACTGGGGACATTGGCGAGCTGGGAGCAACCTTTAGGTGGGCACTGGTGGCCTCCAGAATGCAGGTGAGAGAGTGGGGGATTCCAGGTAGAGGAAGAGAGAGGAGAAGGTGGTATGGTGGGGCTCCAACTTCAGAGCTAATATTATCAAAGATCCCCAACATTTCAGAGCAAGAAATATGGAGAAGCCAAAGTTATTGTGTGAAGATCATCAGCCTTCGGTTATCTGACAGATGGCTATTGAATTTGGGGGTTCTTCTTCTGTATCCGTATTAGTTACTACAGATATTCTCACTATTTCTTAGCACCTTATAAGCAAGGTTTGATTTTAGGTGTTTGTGTGAAGTTCATGAGTTTTCATGCCATGATTGGCATAAGAATTAGCTACGTGTGGGTGTCTTGGAAATACTCCTTCAATCTCTTTTTCATTGGGCTAAATTGGTGAAAGGAAATTGCTGTTTTAATGGCAAAAACAGCAATTACTTTTGCACCAACGCATTAGTTCAAAGCAATTTGAACTGTCCTCCAACTCCAGGCAGTTGCTGTGAAACCACTAGATGGCAATCATGCTAGATGTAATCAAGACTTCAGCGGCGAAGAGAAAATGACTTGCTAGATAACTTCTTCAGATACTTAAGCTGTAGTTTACTTCCCGGCTCCAGAATTTTTCTACGTGTTAGTAATTTATGTCTTCCAGATCATGTAAATACAGATGTGTTAGACTTAGTCATCTAAATCAACTGCTCAGTGACTGGAGCCAGACTATAAAAATAAGTACCTCTCTTCATTTTCAGTTCAAGTATTTTACTATTCCTTTGCCACACATTTCGCTATTTTTTACACAGTTACATCAGCGCCCTGGGTCCCTTTTCTTTTGTACACATACTGATAGAGAAGGAAATTACTCACCTCCAAGGTCCTGGAAATTGTTTTACAGTGCAGAAATTTTCTTGCTCTCTGAGAGATGTCACTCATTTTCTTTAGCAAGGCATTAGGGAACTCCAGCTTTCAGAGAGATGTTAGAAAAGAAATGTCACGTCCCAAGACACAAAGTAAATGCTTTCTTTCTTTACCCAGTTTTATTTGTCATTTGTCTAAACAAAAAAATAGGAGAAATGTTTTATTTACAGTCAGAGGCTGAAGCGGCAAGACCAGGCACGTTAGTGAGGCTGTAAATACCACTGTGTCCACGATTACTTAACACACGCCATCTCCCAGCGCAACCTCAGCCCCTCTGCACCCTTTAAAGCCAGATACACTCAGGCCCCCTGAAAGTTGAGTAGGGCTTCATTTGGAACAAGTCCAGAGCCAACAAAGGAAAACAGTGGAAGAGACTTAGGAGGGAGAAGAGAGAAATGAGATTTACTTAGCCCGAGGTCCCCACGCCACGAATCTGACCAGCAGGGGGCTTCTCGTGCAGACATTCTTGGCCGGAATAGCCAGCAGACTCCGAAGCCCTCACTGGTGGGAGCCGGGAGTTCCACGGCGCAGGGCCCCAGCTGGTGCCCCAAGAAGCGCTTCGGTTTGAGATCTCAGGGAACACAGAGAGACCCCACTGAGATGGTGACGGCCCTGGAATGGGTGGTGCTAAGGAAAGGGCAATGGCGTGAGAGTCGGCACCACTGGCCATGTTTTCCTCCATTTCCTTATGGGACTCAGTTTCCTCAGGGGAGGAACAAAAACTAACAAAGTCTGATACGATTTGGATTTGGCTCTGTCCCCACCCAAATCTCCCCGTGAACTGTATAGCTCCCATAATTCCCACAAGTTGGGGGAGGGACCCAGAAGAGGTAATTGAATTTAGGGTGGGCCTTTCCTGAGCTGTTCTCATGATAGTAAATAAGATCTGAGGGTTTCATGAAGGGCAGTTCCGCTCTCTCGCCTGCCTCCATGTGAGATGTGTCTTGCTTCCTCTTTTACCTCACCATGATTGTAAAGCATCAGCAACCATGTGGAACTGTGAGTCAATTAAACTTTCCTTTATAAATTACCCATTCTTGGGTTTGTCTTTATAAGCATCCTGAGAACAGACTAGTACAGAGTCTAAATTACAAAACAAGAATTGCATTAGCTTTTTATAGAAAGAGATTCCGAAATAGCCCTTGATTGTGCTGACAAGATTTTACGACCTGTTTATGAGTGTGCTACTGAGGACTCTAGAGATGATCCTTCATTCTAGGATTATAAGGTTAAAGTTGTTGTGTGTGTGTGTTTTTCTACTGGCCTGGTCCTTGGTATATAAAAGAATCTTGCAGTACTTTGGCATTTGTTAAGAGATACGGAGTCTTTAATTTTTGAATGCATTGGATCAATTTTTATATAGTATTACATTTTTTATAACCCTTATTTACATTTTATTTTTAAACCCCACCATCTTCTCTATTCTTTTGACCCAGATGTCTAGTAATAAGTTATGACATTCTACATTTTCACCTTAGAGCTATGTTCTGGGGCTTGGCACTCTTATTATTTAAAAAATGGTATCTCCTATGAGAAAACATGAATATTAAAGTGGACATGAATTTAGATTTGTAATAATTAAACTGAATCCCAGGACAGCAAATACTTAAATATGATTTATACTTGGCATTAGTCAAAGCAAGTAATATTGCTGCAATAACAAAAACCCATTTCAGTGGCTTCATACAATGAAGGTTTATTTCTCACTCTCATCACCATTCAACACGAATCTCTCAGGAGGCAGAGACAGAGCGCTGTGCCATACATGCATTCAGGGATTCAGGTTCTTTCCAACTGGTTACCTTGTCATCTTCTAGTACCATGGTTTCCTCTACCAATGTTTTGCATCCTATCAACAGGTGAGAAAAGAGAGGGAGAATGGATAAATCCCATTCCATTGCCTCAGTCTGAAAATGACATACATAATTTCTGCTTACATTCCATTGGTAAGAACTAGTCCCAAGGACCTATCCCGGGAAGAAGAGAACATGGATATTGTTGCAAAATATTCTGGTATCTCCTATACATACATGTTAAATCAAGCTTAGCATAAAGCTGCCTCCTTATATATTTTTAATTTACCCTAAAGGTTTCTCCCTATATGGTGAACTATAAAATGGAGGTATAAACAGATTGTTAACTACTTCTGTGCCAATCATCAAGTTTTGGCTAATCAAAGGGGGCCAACTGTTCAAACCATGTTCAAATAAGGCAAATGCCAAGGTGTAACCAAACCAATCCAGCTGTTTCTGCACCTTACTTCTGTTTTCTGTATGTCAATTTCCTTTTCCTGTCCATAACTCTTCTACCAGGTGGCTGCACTGGAGTCTCTGAGCTGACTCTGGCTTGAGAGGCCACCCAATTTGCAAATCATTCTTTGTTCAACTAAACCCTGTTAAATTTAATTTGTCTAAGATTTTTCTTTTAGCACACATGTGCCAGCAATACAAAGTTTGAGAAGATACTAAACTATTTGTTTGAGGGTGAGAAATGCCATGTCTCACTCCTTGATGTACTCCCCCAGAAGAATCCACCCACTCATACCATGCCCAGTCAGGAATAAGCAAAATATGGCCTTGGGAATTAACTTTCTATTTCCAGCATTTGTTTAGACTAAAGAATCTTGGTGAAGTCTTGACCAAGGGAGTTTTTAAGTAAAACAGCATAATATTTTAAAAGTTGATTTCGTCTAGTCCTTTAAGTCCTTTGTAAATGTGGCGGCCAGCCTACAAGATGGCCCCCAGTGATTCTGTTGCTGATATTCACACCCTGCGTAGTCTCCTCCCATGTCGAATAAGGCTGACTTGTGCAGCCAATAGGTGGCTGTGAAATGAGAGAGTGTGACTTTTGAGACTGGGTCACTAAAAAAAAGTCATTGTGGCTTCCCTTGCTTTCTCTTGGATTACCTGCTCTTGGGAAAGCCAGTTGCCATATTGTAAAAACACTCAGGAAGTCATGCAGAGAGGGCCACATGATGAGGAAATGAGGTCCTCTTCCAACAGCCAGCACTAACTTGCCAGCCATGTGAGTGCACCATCTTGGAATCAAATCCTCCACCTCTAACTAGGCCTTCAGATGACTGCAGCCCTAGATGACCTTTTGACTACAACTTCTTGAGACACCCTGAACCAGACCACTCAGTTAAGCTGCTCCCAATTTCGTGATCCTTAGATATGGTGTAAGATGATAAACGTTTGTTGTTATTTCAGAAGTAATTTATCTCAAGGAACAGCTAAAGTAAATACAATATATCCAGACAATCTGTTCTCCTGTTGTGGATTTTGGAGTGGGGGGTTAACAGTAGACAAAAGGCAAAAGAGAAGAACCCCGATATCCCACCAGTTAAAAATATATTTGACTTAAATATATTCACTTTCTCCTTGTTTAAGTGTTCATAAAAATACTGGCTCTTCAACCAGATTAAGTTCATTACCATATAAATAACCCTAGCTAGATTGGCTTTCTTTTTAAGAAGAAAAGATCATTTACTTAAATAAAATATCATTCATTTAAATTTTCATAAGAACCATATGCTGGAGGTTAATGCCATGTTTACAGATAAGAAACTGAAGTCTTACAGAGTTTAAACAGCTTGATCGTATTCTAAATGGCAGATTCAGGGTAGTACAATTCTAGAAGCTGCATTTCATCCATACTGGTTCTTAAGCCTACCTGAAGTCAATCATTCTTCCCTGTGAAAAGTCGAGACTCCAAGAAGAGGGTAGCGTCAGTTTTGGAGCCTGGTACATGCTGGGCAAGGAGAGACTCAAGTTGCAGCTTAACACAGTTCACTGCAGTTGAACGACTATTTACCAAGCACCAATTTGGTGGCATAAAGGCCCTTTAGGTCCTACTGGCTTGTGGATTCTTGATGGTGGTAACAGTGACAACAACGACAGCATGATGCCAACTGCGTCTCAGATACTGTTCTGATACATTCGCCTGTGTTGACCCATTTCATCCTACAACAGTCCAAGGGTAGGAACTGTTATTGTTGCTGTTTTACTGATGAGGCACTAAGGCAAAGAGAGATGAAAGGTCACCCACCCAGCTAGTAAGAGGTGGAGCTAGGACTCAAACCAGAGAGGCTGACTGCAGAGTCTGTGTCTGACCTTGCACTATGCACCTTTCTAGGCAGCTTGATTAATGAGTTAGGCCTGTCCTATATCTGCTGGCCTAGTGTCTACTCCACTGCCATCCTCACTCCTCACATTCCTCATGTCTTGCTCTCCACCTGTCTTGCCACTGCTCCAGCCCTACTGTTGCTGAGCTCACCTGCATGGATGCACTGTGGTCTGTTGCACTGCAGATGCCCACATGGTGGCTGGTGTTGTCTTGGATCTCTGGGAGCCCTTGGGATATCTGTGCTTCCTGCTAGAGCTATACAGGTGCCAGACAGGCGATTCTCTCAATGTCCCTAACTTTGATGCAGCCTGAATCAATCTTCAGAGACCACCAAGTAGTCTGAGCTCAAGCAGGGCAGGGTCATTCTCAACCTGTGATTTGTAGAAGAATCACCTGGTGCACCTACTTAAAATGCAGAACCACATGCACTGTGGGTAATTCTGAGCCTATGGGTATGGGGTAGTGCTTATTATTTGGAGCCAGGATACCACCCCCAAACCTTAGTAGACGCCTACAGCAGGGAAACGCCCTCCTCTTCACATGTCCCGCTTGGAGGATCCACTCTCCTTCCCAGAATTTTCATATCCAAGCATCATTTTATGCCCTCTTAATCCATTCAGGCTCCTATGATGTAATGCCATAGATTAGGTTGCTTATAAACAACAGAAATTTATTTCTTACATTCCAGAAGCTGGGAAGTCCAAAATCAAAGTGCTGGAAACTTCTGTGTCTGGTGAGGGCCTACTTTCTAATTCATAGATGGTGACTTCTCACTGTTCCTGCATGGTAGAAGAGGCAGGGTAGCTCTCTGGGACCTTTAATCCTCCCAAAGGCCCCATGTCTCAATGCCTTCACCTTGGGGATTAGGTTTCAACATAGGAATTTTGTGGAGACACATTCATTCAGACTTCTGCACATCTTTCCATAATGACTACCTCCTCCTCTCCAGACCATTGACTGGTTCTGGCCCCCATTGTGGCCCATATGTTCCTTTCTCTCAGTGATCTACTGTCCTTGAGGGCCCCAGGTGACTCAGGGAAGATGGCTCAGACACCACCCCAGAATGCCCAATTCCATTCAGTGGCTGCTGGGAGTGGCAGGCCAGGCCCTAGATCACCAGCCCTTCCCTTAAGGGCCTTAATTGCCAGTAGACAGTCAGAAATGTAAGCAGATTATTAGTATCTAATGGAAAGAGCTGACAAGGAAGTATGAAATGGGTCCCATTGATGGCAGGAGTGGGCCTTCTGGAGCAGCCGCTGCCATCAGGCTGGCTGCAGCAGGGAGGTATGGCCAGGTTTGCATATTCCATGGAGCCAGTGGGAGCTGGGGACAAGCAGGTGCCCAGCCCCTTCCAAGTTGGGGCAGGGGCTCCCTGGTTGCCACAGAAGCCACCCAAGCTATGACTGTGGACCCAGGTATCCCTGTGCTCTGGGACAGG